AAAAATATATATATATATATATATATATATATATACACACACACACATATACACATACACACATATATTGAAAAGCCTCACCTTTAAGAAATTCCATTATGCAACTAAAAAACCAAAGTCCATTGTAGATCAGAAGAATACATTTGGAAGGTAAGAAGAGGAAAGCAGAAAGGAAGCAAGCATTTAACAACAGCAAGATGTAACAACTCATATCCTTGTAACAATGGAGCAAAATGTAAAATACAGACATCCTGCTATACTCAAAAAACAGAGGTGCTGGGGGCAATTAACTCTACGACGTCTCAGTGATCTTTAAGAATAGCCATCTTTTTCAACTATTTCTCTAAAAATTCTTCTTAAAAAGTCACGTAACTATTAAAAGCCAAGAATATGCTTGTGAAAATTGTCTTCAAAATGACTGTCATCGAAAGTGTACCCAGGGCTATGGCAACCTCTCTTTTAAGAAGTCTGTTTGTTTAGAAGCCTTCTTCTATGAAGATTTTAGCAAATGAGAAATCACTGAGATGCTAAATCACTGTCTGAGATGCTAAAGGCATGTCTTCTGGTGGATGGGAATTTAACCCTCTACACAACTGAGAGGCAGAGCGGTCGCCAATAATCTGTCACCTCGACATAAAGCAATAATGTCACCACCATTTTATTTTTTAAGGCATTTAAGAGTTTTGAGAACTTACCGCCCAGAAGAAACTGACTTTGTTGAGCCAACATTTTCAAACAGTTGGGCTTTTGCTGCCACTCTGAAAAGTAATTTTAAAATGCACATTACATAAAGTCCGTCAAATTCATGGAGGCTTATTAGTTCAACAAAACAAAACATGTTAATGAAGAACCATGACCAAAATCAGACCTGCATCTTAACTGTTTTAAGATTTAACGTCCACGAAGACTTTTAACTCTAGTCTCCAGCTTACGGAGCAGCAGATGCAATCAGCCCACAGTCACCTCCTCTGGGAGCCTGCTGTCCTCAACCCTTTTGCCTCAAAGCCTTTGGGAGCAGTGGAAGGGACATTTTCTCTCTACTCTGCTCCCGGCAGCGTGTCACCGACTCCCCTGGAACCACAGGGAGGAATCAGTCACATCCACAAGACAAAAGAAGAACCAATCGTGCTTTCTGGTAGCTACAAAATTACCAGTTAGACCGTCACTCCATCTATTCTTTCTGTTTGCGCATCTTTTCTCAACCTGAAAAGGGCACACTAAAAAGATGGCCCATAAATGAATGTGTGGATTTCAATTTGTTTTAACAAATGGCAGTGGTGGAGAGGACATATATTAGTTGAAGAGGTGAGACTATTGGGTACAGACAGAAGAACTGAAATTAAGGCATCCTATGTAATTAGAAAAGTTTTTATATTTGCTAGAAGAAAATATCAAATTCCTTGGATGGTCTTCTCAACTAGACTTTAAAAAAAAAATCTATCTTATTTCTTTACTGACAAACTCCTAGAGCCAAGCCATTTAATCATCTCAAAGATAATGTCCTACTTAATATAGAAAGTGTATTTACTCATTTTAATTTCTGCATTGACTACCAGTATAATCACAAAACAGAAGCTTTTCTCTTTCTTCTGCAATTAATAGAGTTCATATTCTCTCATCTCCTCTGAAGTACTGGGTTAAAATTTAATTTCCCTCAATGACTAGAATGATACACAGTGATGAGCAGACAAACTTATAAATACCCTTGTCTATACCACTGTCACTGGGTTTCCAACCAAGAGGGAGAATGTGCCTTGAACACACTCAGCAAACCAAAAGGCTCTTGTCAAAGAAAGGCTGAACTAATTTACAACACGGTTCCTGTGGAAACAGCCTTAGTGAAATGCCTTAGGAGACTTTTCCCAAACAGCCAGAGTGTCAAGAGTACTACCACCACATTAACATGGGAGTAGGAGGAGAGAAGAACACAGAACGGAAGTGAGAGGATGCTGGGGTTGGAAGCCCAGCTCTGCCACGTTCCAGCTGAGTCCACGTGGACACGTTTCGTGAGCTTTCTAAGCATCAGTTCCCAACATCTCACTTATTTTATTATTATTATTTCAAATTCAGGTCCTGAGGGTTCTCGTCATCTCTAAAACAGGGTCTATACTACCTATTTCTTTTTTTTTTTGAGTTGGAGTCTCACTCTGTCGCCCAGACTGGAGTGCAGTGGCCGCTCCCGGCTACCGCAGCCTCACCCTGCTGGGCTCTGGCGATCCTTCCGCCTCAGCCTTCTGAGTAGCCGGAATTACAGGCGCGTGCTACCACGCCCAGCTAATTTTTGATTTATTGTAGAGATGAGGTCCGGCCAAGTTGCCCAGGCAAATCTCGAACCTGCGGGCTTAGGCAATCCACTCACCTCAGCCTCCCAAAGGCGCGGGATTACAGGCCGAGCCACTGAGCCCGCCTACACTACCTATTTCAAAAGGACACTGTGGACTTTAAAAGAGAGAACTTAAGCAAAGATACCCAATAATAGCTCAGAGAGCATTAGGGATTGCTCAGCAACTGTGAGGAAGACAAAATGGACAGGAGAGAAACTTCCCACCTCTGTTCTGTTGTTTATGCAGGTTTCCTCTGGCTCTTTGCCCCCCTTCTGCTCATGTCTACACACCCTTCTCCTCAGCCTTTACACTTCTGGCCATCTGTTCTGATCGGAAGTTCTTCCTTTTGCCGTTGATGTTCCAAATTCTCCACAAGCTCACTTAAGTCCCTGAGGACTCAGGTGCAGAGATACAGGATGGAGAAGAGAGAAACCATCCTCCAAAGCTGGCAGGCAGTGGCATCAAAACAGAGAGGGAAGCTGGGACCTGGGATGGTCTCTTCAGCTCAGTGGTGAATGTTTAGCTTTTATGGGAAGGCTTCTAGTTCCCAAGCCTGGAAGGACTCTATTAGACTTACATCCTCAGTTCCTTCAATGAAGTCATAGCTCTGTCTCTAAAAGTGCCACCCTGAGATGCTTTATATCCTAAGGCTCCTCTAACATCCACATCACTGTTAGAAGAAGACAGAGTCCCAGAAGTTGACTGTGCCCACTTTCCAGATGAAGCATTCAACCATGGGAGTCCCCAGAGTTCTTCTGAACATACTCGACCCCTCTGTATCCCCACAGCTACAAACCCTCACTTACACAGAGCCGGGTCGCTGATAGCCGTTGCTTGAGGCAGTGTCCAGTCTTGACCTCCTGCCCATCTTTGGAGGCAGGTCTGGGTTTGGGGAGGCTTTAGGTGTTTCTTTGGAACCTATGGAAGTTAAGCTTTGAACGGATCCACTGTAGCTCTTGTTTCCTTAAGAAAAAGCCCAAGAAAACAGGCAAGGCGCCATCAGACAAAATAATAGCAATAACACAGTACATGCATAACAAAAGAAAGCATTTTCCTCTGAGCCCAAATGGGAAGGTACAGGATGTTCTCTGAGCACGGCAACCTATCACTCAGGGAGATCCAAATCTACAGTCATTACAAAGACATCACCTCCCAGACTTGGAAAGACTCGGGAAAAAGTCACAGTGCATGGGTTTTCAAATCCAAGCTCAGGCACAAAGTCGATCAGCATCGTTAGCTTTTCACCATTAACTTCAGGCCTGCTTAATCATGCTGAATAACCCAGCCGGTGACACCGAGACAATGACATCTTGCACAAGTCCCACCCTGGCTTACCTTCGGCTGCAGAGATGGATCTGAGAGAGGAGGCGGAGGCTCTTTTCAGTCCTGAAGGTCCATACGGCCCCTTCTTGACCAGGTCTATGGGTGGGGACGCGTCCCCCGGGCTGGTGACCGAGGCGACACTCTGGCAATCTGATTCTGCATCGGTTTTGGTGGCGTCTTCTCTCGAACTTGACTCGGGACTCGTCGTCCAGAGAGCAAGGCTCTTCTGTCCATTGGAAGATGATGGGGTGGCGATCCAGGGGATCCCTCCGGATTTCTCCCGGGGCGGGCAGGAGGCCGACTTGGTCGTGCTGTTTTGCTCAGAGGAGTGAGAAGACAGCGACTCGATGCTCCCCATGGGCGTGCTGTCGGGACTGCTGCTGTAGGAGTCACCTGGGGAGGAGGAGGGGGAAAAGCACAGTCGTTACCTGGTGACAGCAACATCCCCCAGACCCTTCTGTCCTCCAGTTCGCCTGTGCTCGGCGGCCATCTGCCCCCAATTGGGTGGGGGGTGTTTAACTGCTAAGGAGACCGTCCTCAGGGCTGGAGTAAGGATGCAAAATTCGCAACTGAACGGTGGTGAATGCGTTTTTCAATACTATCTAGGAAGATTGTCTATGTACCTGTGAACTAACTGCCCCTATGCGATTACTTTACTGATCAAAGCATTGGTGGGCTGACTTGAATTCAGACAAAATTTGTTTCTGAAACAGACTCAGAAGTAACAGAAAGGATTCCTTCATGGTATTGTAGAAACCAGTGGAAGGAGGTATATGAAAGACATATTTCTGCCTTCTCTTGCTTTCTGACTATAGGTGAGCTGAGTTACAAAGTACTAGCCCTCTTTCATTCAAAGGCAGCATTAAAAGTCAGCAGTAAATTACAAACTCCTCACAATTTGCAAAGAAAGGATTTTTCCCCTTTGCCTGCTAAGAAAACAGCAGTGTAAGAAACTGGCTATTTTGCAGGGTTTATTTTTTGATGTTCCTAAAAGAAATGGATAGGAAAAATCAGAGAAACCATCATACAGCGCTCAAATGTAACCAGATTAAAACCGACAGTCTATTTTATTAGATATTATCTGTGGGGAAAAAACCAAGGGCTGGGGGTATGAACTAAAGCGAGAATGGCCACAGTTCAGTGCAAGCCATGGGCCCCAGCGGCCACCCACATCACCTTGGGGCTTGGCCCAGAATCGTAAGTTCATGATAATGCGGGGTCTTGGTTTTCTTCTCATTTCTTTTCTCTTTCAGACACTCTGATACCCAAGAGATGCTGCTTTAAGAACACAATGTGAAAGGAGGGAAGAAAATGACTGCTCAGTCAGACTTTCTCTTGCTTTCTTCTTTACCACTGACAACAGGACAAAATCTGCTACGAAGTGGCACCCGATGTACTTAATCGCAGCTGTGGAGGAAAGGGCACCGAGCAAACGACTGCTTTCCTTTGTATCAGTAATGAATTTGCTAGCCCAAGGAACCTTACAACTATTGACAGAGGAGACATACATGGTAGAAGAGGGGTGTCAGGGAGAGAGCGTTGGTGAGAACATCACCTGTTTCTACCTAATTACCAAGAAAGTGAGGGAAGACTGAATGAGAGAAGATAGAAAGCATCTCCCTCTGGCCGGGCAACTTACTGTCGGGCTCTGCCAGGCACGGAGTGTACCTCCCTCTGGGCTTCCGGGAGCCTGTGGACAGACAGATGGCTCGAGTCCTCCGGGACCCAGACCGAGACTGAGGCTGGGGAAGAGGAATGCTTGGGTCGGGGGCCGTGTGAAAGATCTGCGTTGAAAAAAGATGGACCAAAGTCAGTCGAAAGGTGAAATGGCCATTTTCATCAGAAAATAAGCTCTAAGAGCGATTATGCAATCTTAGAACCACATGCTACTTAATCAGCTGCAGGGCAAGAGATGTTTAATACAAAAAATGCGTATCTTAGAACAATGATGACTTTTCCAAGTACGCTGGGTAATGTTTCTTTCCTGGGTTTTCCTTTTCATTCTCTCGTGTTGCTCAAAAATAAAATCCAGAAGATTCTCCAATAATTTTAGGAACTCTTCCAAGTATGAACGAATGGTCCATGCCATGAAACACTGATTCTTTCTATTGAAATCATCGCTGTCCACCTTCATGCTCTGAAGAACGTAACCTGAGGGGCAGAGGCTCACTCTGTGTCATTCCTGTAGCTGTAAGGCTCCTCGTGTCTCAGAAGAAGGTGCTACCACGCTGTTGGCTCTGAGCTCTCAAGGGAGGTGACAGCCTGCAGGCAGCAGCATGAGCACAGCTAGAGGATGCAGCCATGTGATTTGGGTTAGGAGAGAGGTTGTGCCCTTAGATGGGCACCGAGGACACGCTTCTGTGGGTACCAGGAAGGGACCCGGGGAGGAGAGGGGCACCGTCATCCTTTCACAAGGACCAGATCATTACAGTGTCTCAAGGTGCTTCATAATCCAACTCATTTGGTTTTCACGATTTTCCATTTCCATATTTATTCCAAGATCTCACATTTTCAAGGAAACCAATCCTTAGGGATTGAATACAGAGAGAACTTCAAGACTCTGTTTCCTAATTTTTTCCTTTTGTTGGGTTAGACTATTACCTCTACTGCATAATTAGGAATTTGATTCCGGAGGGAGAAAAAGAGAAGGTGAAAACAGACCACAAAGGGATTTTGAAGGGTTCTCTGCAGATGGGTCATAAATTGACCACACATTGCCAAAGAAGAAAACCCTGAGAAGTAAATAACATAGAACACCAGCTACCTGAAGGATTCTGAGAAGCACTTACAAACGGAACAACAAAAAAAGAAAACCCAAGTCTCCAGGAAGAAGCAATTTATACAAAACTTACAAGATCGGCACTTTACAGGAATAAAGGAACCTGGGATCACAATGCAAAGCTCACAGATAACACAGCTGCAAAACTCCTTTTTAAAAGCAAGATACAAAACTTGGCACTTCCACATGAAAATTCAGCCTACCTTTTCATAATGCTCTATGAGAATTTCTACCACGATATTCTGAAATTTAATATTCATCATGGCGGCCACAGTTTCCTCCTGTGCTCTCATGAGAGTTGGGCCAAAGATGACACCAAGATTTGAGACAGTCATGAGATTCTGTTGGCTGTGTAGTGACACTCTGCAGATAAAGAGTGACAAAGTATCTTAAGTTAAATGTTTAGAAATTTTGAAATGCTATCCTCTATCCAATTTGAGGCGCTTAAAAGATGCCACTATAGGCATCTAAGTGTTTCCTACTCTTAACCACTCCTAATTGGCATTCTGGGTACAGCCTAAAAAGATGCAAAAAGTTAACATTAGCCCAAGTAAAGCATAATTACAAACAAAACATAACCTAATGATCAAAAAACCTTGACTTCTTAAATCAAGTACAACTACCCTAGAAAGATTGACTATTAGCTGCTGTTTGGTATTTTCAGTGATACCCTACTTTTTTATTATAACAGTCACTTAAGAGCAGACTGGTTGGAATTACATTGAGACTCGTCATAGACCTAATACCTGAGAAACAATTATAACAGATGAAAATTATTACATAAAAATACAACCAAGAAACACTTTAGATTCAAACATCCAAATACGTTGAAAGTAAATGGATGAAAGATATATCATGCAAACAGCAGCCAAATGAAAGCCAGAGTGGCTATGCTGTGCTAATATCCAAAACCTGAATTTTAAAATAAGAAATGTTATTGGTGACAAAGATTAAACATAATAAAAGGGCCACTCCAATAGGAATACATAACAATTTATAAATATATATGCACCTAATAACTGCATGCCCAAATACATGACGTAAAGTTATGTGCTGCTGGGAGGGCTTTCCAAACAGAGAACCAAGACTTTTGTTTAATTTCACAATTGCATTGAGTTAAGGATTATTGATCATTTGAATAATATGGAATTAAAAAACAATCTTAACTAGAGTGGTAGTTTAATACTACTAGCAAAAATCCATGTTTAACATTAAGATTTTCATTTAGGGAAGCCCCCTCGGGTCCCCTCCCACTGTGGGAGCTTTTCTGTCCTCTCAATAGATCCTGATTTCTCAAAAAAAAAAAAAAAAATTCATTTAGGAGAAATCTGCTATTACTTTTTGCTTTGCATGCAAAGGAATTTCATAATAATTTTCTTAAATGTTATATTTCCTAATGAAGATAAGTTTGCCCAAAATATAACACTAAAAAATTTATATAATAGCACTTTTAAATATTTAAAGATAATTTAGAATTAAAGAAGATGCCACAGGCAGCCTCTGTTTTCAAGACAAACAAAAGGATGCTCAGAAAGAAAGCAACAATTTATACTATTGCACAGAACTAATTAATGAATATTTGGAATCAGTCTTTCAGTCCTTGGAATCCTAGTCTCAGTCACTGGTCTTAAATTTTCATTTTTTTCAGCTATAAAAGTTGTCAGGGATCAAGACTGTTATTCGTTGTTTGTAGTTTTCGCAAGTCAGTGGTGACCTGGGCCCACATTCCACAGCAGCTGTGTCATGTGTGATAGTAACAGTCAGTGGGACCTGCCCTTTGAAGGTCCAAGAAAGAAGCCAGCAATGGCAGTGAAGGGTGAGCAAAGTATTGTAAGCATTATCTCATGGTCAGATACTCTCCCATGCTATTTCCTGTGCCAAAGCCACATACACAGTCACGTTGAGAGCTTGTGTTAAACTAACATTCTGGATAGTTAAGCAAAAAAATTTTATGTAATACCTAGGTGGCTTTTATAAGCACATTTTAAAAGGCTTTGCTAAAAAAAAAAAAAAAAAAAAAATTTGAAGACCGGCCAGAGGATGCCTAATAAATGGTGTAATTGAATCTCAGGAAGAGCTAACACAATTCAAAACGAATCCTGGCCAAAGGTAGCCAGTTCTTTGTTCGTTAGCTACAAGAAATGCAGATGAGTCAACAGTTAATATCAGCTTTAAATGACGTTACTCCTAGTGGGTTTCCTTCTTATGTGGTGGTGCTGACGGTGTGAGTCTGTGTGTGTGTGTGTGTAAGAGTCATAGTATCGCAAAGCCTACAAATTAAGATGAGACCCATTACTATGTTTGTGCAGTACTACGGGATGAGTATCCCTTATCTAAAATTCTTGGGACCATAAGTGTTTTGGATTTCAGATTTTAAAATATTTGCACTAAATTTGCCAGTTGAGCATTCCACACTCAAAAACCCCAAATCTAAAATGCTCTGATGAACATTTCGTTTGAGAATCATGTCAGTATTCAAAGAGTTTTGGATTCTGGAGCATTTTGGGTTCCAAACTTTCAGATATGGGAAGCGGCGCTCAACCTGTATTTCCAAGGCCCAAGCAAACATACATTGGGTTACGACTTGCAGCAAATCATGAAGGGTTAATAATTTTATTGTGCATCGTGGTACTCATTAAAATGGAAAATGTCCCCAGGAAATAGTAAATAATGATGTCGGCCATTCTTAAGCTTAAAACTGAATTTAGACATTTGTTTCCTGAAGCATGGCAAACTCACTTCTGGATCATATATGTGTGTTTGTCTCTGTGTGTGTCTTCCAATCTGATATAGATAGATATGCTATCTAGAATTACTTTTACCTGTCAACTTTGCTAGGCCACGGGACTCAGATATTTGGTCAAGGATTATTCCAGATGTGTCTGTGAAGGTATTTTTTAGAGGACATTAACATTTAGATGAGTAGATTTTAAGTGGAGCAAATTAACCTCCTTAATGTGAACTGGCCTCATCCAATCAATTGAAGAGCTTAAGAGGGAAAAAAAATTGAATTTCCCGAAGAAGAAAGAATTCTGCCTCTGAATTTGAGCCATGGCATCAACTCTGCCTTGGATCTCTAGCCTGCTTGCTGCCCTGCAGATTTCAGACTTACTAGCCCTATGACCATGTGAACCAATTCCTTAAAATAAATCAGTGTCAATCAATCAAGACATCAATCGATCCTTCTCTAAAAATATAGCACACGCACACACACATTCACACCCCCTATTGCTTCCATATCTGTGGAGAACTCTAATATTACGATATCTATCTACTTACCTACCTACCTACTTATCCCTCGAGAGACAAGGAGACATTTTTAAGTATCTGGATAAACTAGAAACAAAGTCAGAGAATTCTCTGGAGACTAAGAGAAAGCCATGAGAGTAATCTAACGGTAGAGTATTAGTGTGACCTAGGGGAACCCTGTTGACGTCAGTAGTAAAGAGCCACTGGTCTTCAAACTCACTGCTTGCAACATCTAAAAGAATTGGATAGATTCTGTTATATGCTATAAACTATAAAAACAATATGCTCTTTCACACATTTTTAAGTTGATACATCTAAGTGTTTCATCATTAATTTAACAGTTGCAAAGGATATAATTAGTTGAAAACTGGAAACACATACTGGTATACACAGACATATACTTTTTTTTTTTAATGAGTCAGAGTCTCACTCTGTCACCCAAGCTGGAGAACAGTGGCATGATCACAGCCACCTCAACCTCGACCTGCTGGGCTCAGGCAATCCTTCCGCCACAGTCTTCCAGGTAGCTGGAACTACAGGCACGTGCCACCATGCCCAGTTGACTTTTTGACTTATTGTAGAGATGAGGTCTCACCAAGTTGCCCAGGCCGGTCTCGAACCCCTGGACTAGGCAATCCTCTTTGCCTCCACCTCCCAAAGTGCTGGGATTACAGGCGTGAGCCACTGCTCCTGGCTAGATATGCTTTAAAAATAAACTGCCATGGTATTTCTCAAGCACATTCAATGGACTCTGATTATCATTGCAATGTCATAGCCCCATCACACACTTTAGGAAGACATGAATAAACTTAACAGGTGAACCACTAGTTAAATGAACAATAGAAGTTTGAGAATTACTTGACCAGATGCTTTATCAAGATGTCCAGCATCTCTCTGTTTTTCTCTGGCAATTTGTGCACCAACGCATGGACAGCCTCCACCCTGTAGTTTTGGTCATCGGATTCTGTTACATAAAACAAGGTTGCAAATGCTCAAGTTTTGATTGCATTCAACAACGTATGTAAACATTAGTGATCTAAACGTTAGGACCATGCCCACCCCCTTGCCTTATAAGCTCTGCTTCATGTAATACTGCCATTATCATTCTTCAAGGTTTGGAGAAGTTGAGTAACTTGCCCATGGCCATGAAGTCAGAAGGTAGAGAAACCCAGGTCTACCGATTCTACATGTGCGCTTTTAGTCGCTGACCTATTTATTTCCATATAACTGTGCCCCTGTTTGGGTTTAGCTACCCAAGGGTAAAAAGTCAAACCTTTAGAAACATGAATGACAGTAGCAATTGATACAGACTGCCCCTTGTGCCTGGCATTATCACGCTATCCCATGGAAACGTTTTAGAGATCCAGCCTAATGCAGCCAGAGGAAGCCCTTCATTCCTCTCCTTATTTTACACATAAAAACAACACAGAATGACTTTTCTGAGGTGTCAGAATGATTAAACATAAATCCAATATATTTCAAGCCCATCCTGACAAAGGTAAATCTGAAATGTAAGAAATTGTAAAAGCCAAGCCTAGTCTGCCAGGTTAAAGCTAAGATGTTGACATTTCTGCTTAGAAAAATGCCTAACATGTTAGAATGACAAATCTACTAAACATTCTCTTACTGTAGTAAACAAATTCTGGGGTGATTGCTCAACCTGCCAAACCTTTTTGACCTTTTCTCCAGAAAGTGCCCTGACACACAGACTTTATTTATGGGACCACCATCTCGTGTGGGCACAGCTATCCGGACATGGGATGAGGAGAGAGCCTGACTCAGGCTAGACATGAGGTCTCTCCTAAGAGGTGAAATAGAGACTCTCAAACTCCGATCTTTCTGCTGGACATGTGAAAAGGCAGATCATGCAAAATCAGGGTCGAAGTCACCACATGCACCCCGAGAAAATCTGGGAGGGGAGATGAGAATGACACAGAAACCCCCAGAAGAAGTTGAGTAGAGACAAGGCAATCCTGAACTTAGCAGTTCCGGTAGCAGCCTGTGAATAACTTCCCCTTACACTGAACGCGACTTCTGCTGCTTGAAATAAAATAACCTAGTTTATAAACTTAGCATCTAGCAAATAGTCACCCTTGGCCTAGCAAAGATGACTTCTTATATGTAAAAACATATTTTAATATCATCATAATTTATCACAGAAGCGAGTGGAGAAAAAGTTTGTCACCAAGAGCTTATACTAAAATAACCAGCTCATGGAGTCATTTTAGCCAAGTAGCACAAATATCATTCGTCATAAACCAAAATCTCTGTAAGAAAAGGTTCTAGACAAAGAGTAAAACGACAAAGCAAAACAAAAAACCGGCTTGCAGTCCTGGTTTTGCCATGCATTTCCTGGCATCCTTGGACAAGTCACTTGCCCGCTCTGGCTCCTGATTTCCTAGTTCACAGAATGATATGTCAGATTATATATTGTTCTCTTCCTTCCTGTCCATCTTATAAAGATAGATTTCGATGAAGAGAATGTAGAGTGGAGAGCTTTTGGAGAAAGCTAAGTCGGAAGATTTTTACAAGGTCATAAGATTATAAACACTGCATTGAAAACCAAGGTCACTCAACTTTATCTGACACTTTTATCCGCTGACATTTCCTGTGACATTACAATGTGTGCAAATTAACCAATGTAACTGATTTCTTGTTACAGTCACACCTCATACATCTTAACAATGAAATGCCAACTCCTAATTGTCACATGCTGTTGTGATGGGTTCAGATGGCGATCTGAGACTTTATCCTCAACGACTTAAAAATATGTATTACTAACTTCTCAGGTTATGTATTTCTCCCCATTCCCGACCCTCCCCTCCAGTATTTTAATTAAACCTATCTATTCATAGCATGTTACAGCAGTCACAGATCCAAACAGATGACGTAAATATGTGATCACCATAAATATGAGGGGACGGGATTGATGAAACTGCCCATTGCTTGCCAAAAATATTTGACCCCTCTCTCCAGATTGAGGAATATAGCACGTAAGCTTATGCAGAGATTCAGTGTCTGCACATATTTGGAGTCTTGTTTATTTAAACACAAAGTTGCTCTCATAAGAAACTAATATTTGCCATTCAAGTACAATAAAATTGGAATAATTCCTCACGGTTCTTTCTAATCACACCAGACAGTCACCCCAATGAGGTCTTATTAAGTAACAAAGTATTTTGGCTCATTCTGCAATTTCTTACTGGCTTGAAAACTATATTGCAAGTTATTAATACTAGGGATCAGACGAACAATGCTTTCGGCAATATGTGAAAAAAATCTTTGCTAGCTGATTTAAGCTTACAGGTCTCAGTACTACAGCATAAAACTACATCAATTGGAAAGCATCTGATGCAAGTCTACTTACTAACAGCAACAATAAAATCTTTGTGCAACTTGTACGTCATCAGTGGTTCTGCAAGACATCTACAACAGAAGAAACAGACATTGTGGGATGGTGGTAGATTTTTCTCCCCCCAAATTTTCAGTGTTTAAGAATTGGGTGACTAGCCGGGCTCGGTGACTCAGCCTGTAGTCCCGTGCCTTGGGAGGCTGAGATGAGTGGACTGCCTGAGCCCGTGGGTTCGAGACCCCCTGGACAACCTGGCGAGACCTCATCTCTACAATAAATCAAAAAATTAGCTGGGCATGGTAGCGCGCGCCTGTAGTTCCAGCTACTCAGAAGGCTGAGGCGGAAGGATCGCCAGAGCCCAGCAGGTCGAGGCTGCGGTGGCCGGGAGCGGCCACTGCACTCCCGTCTGGGCGACAGAGTGAGACTCCAACTCAAAAAAAAAAGAATTGGGTGACTATTATTTGTCAAGTAAAAATAAAATAAGATAACAAATAATTAAGCAAGTAAGTAAATGGACGACTTGGATGATTCAGCAGTATGATAGTAGCAGGGCTCTAGGTAGCCCTAAAATGCAGACCTCAAAGATGTCAGTGCCCCTGGTACTTCTAGTCACGATCATATTAAAAGGGAAGACTGGGAAAAGTCATTTTTCAGCAGTGAGAACTACTGACCCCAGGAACAAACTCTTTTTCAGATATGGGAACGATTGTTAAGAAAACAAAAACAAAACAACTTTACTTTTCAGCTTGATATTTAAAAAATATATACATTAAAATCCCACACGAAAGTTTTATATGAAACAAAGCAATACTAATTCTATATTCATAAAATGTTACAGCCTTTTATTATTGAAAAAACCAAGTATGAGTTTCAGAACACTAAGGAAATTAAGTTAAGGAGTGAGGCTTGGGGACACAGACTCCATGAAATCACATGGTTACTACCCAAGATGGTTACTACCCAAGATGGCTATTACCTAAGAGATCACATCTAAAGTACCAGGAGTTAAACCTTCCTCACCTGAGGTAGTTTTTCAGCCCACTTGTAATTGTCTTATTGTCCCATAGTTCAATATCAATGTCAATATCAGGAGGAGATTTTGGAGCTGGAAAGAATAAAAACAAGATGTTTCAATTGTGCAGTTTAAAATAATACTTCAGCCATTATGAATGTGGATACAAACATAAGTAGGTCAAGAAAGAGAGGTCTTAATTTCTTAAGATTCCAACAGAGCTAACATTAGGATTATTGTTTGTGTGATTTGGTAAAAAGTTCACCCTGACACCAAACCTCCACAAATTTTGTGAAATAACAGTCTCCCAAATCAAATGACTGCTAATTGCTAACATGACAGAGCACTTACCATGTACCCAGAATGCTTTTCAGTGCTTTACAGAGATGAACATATTTAATCCTCACAAGTCTTAAGAGCCAGGCACTATTATTATCCCTATTTTCATAAATGAGGAACCTGAGACACAACTGGGAACCAGACATCTGATCATATCTCTAGCTTACCAAAGGACACGAGACAAAAATCCAGTATTATAAAAAGACCTCCTCAGATTGTTTATCTATTATAACTGAACATTAAAGGTGAAATACAAATATGAACTTTAAATATTATCTGAAAATACTCAAAGATAAGTCTGTATCTAGACTATATTTCAAATAAATCTATGACGTAAATGACTCACAAAAATACAAAAATTACTGAAGTAACTTGCTTTAGCTAACACTTACAAAATATGGTGTTCATGAATTTTTGAACTTTGGAGTTCACGCCTCCTATGCGGTAGAGGCCCAGAATGGTGATGCCTAATGGGAAGGAAAAATCACAAGAAAATGGCTTGAGACACAGGCTCACAAGTACAGAATGTTAAAAACTCAGACATATGCCTACACTGAATTTGAAAGCTACTTATCCAATTTTGCAGTCTAACATTAGCAAACCTACCCTGGAAATGCTCATCAGACATATATTTCTCAGAGCAGACACTGAACAGCAATTGGAAAGTCTCTGAAGATCTTCAAAGCGGCAAAGTATAGAGCTGTCTAGTCACCATTATTCGAATATAAAAAAGCATCAAAGATGGGAAGGGATGATTAACATTCTGGGTCTTCTGTTTCTTCAGAGTCATGGAGTCCTTCTGCATGGTCAACAGTTCTAGGGCATTCACGTCTTCATTTTAAAGGTGAGGAAGAAGACTGAGAATTTGAGAAGCCTATTTGACTTCTCAAAACTTCTATGTGGCAGCACTAAAATCTAAATATAAGTTCATAGAACATCAAAGCTCAGTTTGAGTTTTGCTTTTGAAAAATTTTCCGGGAAGTGACAGTCTCACTTCTAACGGGAGTGAACTTCCAGAGAAAGGTCATTAGCAGAGTGGGAAAGGGGCCAAAATTGTGGCAGTGACTGAAATCACTAAGAATATAGGGAGGAAGGAGAATGACGGCAAATTCCTTAGGAATTTTACTCACTTCTTCAATGCTTGAAAGAAATAAAACAGAGGTGCTTACAATAATAAATAATAATCAGTTTATCAGTAAGAAGGGAGGCTATATTAGAAAAAAATATTAAGAAGTATGTCTGTAGCATGGTTTTTAGTAAAGTGAAGTTCAAGGTATAGCTATTTGTACACTGACATACTTTATACATTTATATCTCTCTTAAAACTGATCTCATGCTAATGACTAAACACACCTCCGTTTTCTACCCTGAGAGGTTTCTACCAAAGAATGACACGAGACAGAAACACTACAGCTATCAGGGTACACTGACCTCTTGTTTCCACAGCTTGGATGCACTTTCTCACAAAGTTGAACCCTGCTTCATTCAAGTACACTGAAAGTAAGAGAAAGATCACACTGTTTACGTTGAACTTGCATTCCCCCTTTCACTAGCTCTGTTCACTGTGCCTTCATGACACTGCAGCACAGAGTTTATCGAATATGTTGGTTAGAGGCCGACTTTTTATTTTGGGATATAAGTTGAAGAGGGGTGTTCATCCTCAGTTATTACATCAGCCTGCTGACTAAGGACAGATCTCTCGTGGAAAGTATATTACACTGACCTCACCCATTTTTTCTAAAACTAACATGAGGCTTCACTCCACGTTTTTTTCATATAGAGGCAAATATGCTAAGAATAAACCTTTACTGTGTGTTGAAAACTGTAATATAAAGCCTTTTGCATATTTTTTTCCCATAGGAATCTCATGAGTTAGAGAGAAAGTTCTGCAATATTAAGATGATTCAGCAGGTTGCTGCCAACTTCTCTTCTCTCTGTTCTAAGCTCTCAAGATTCTAACCCAGTCTCCTGATTCCAAAGTCAGTGCTCTCTCTGTTACCCATATTTAAAATAATCTAAAACATGTTTCATCAGTCCACGAAAAGTCCCCAAGCGATCTCACATTATGAAATAGTAATTTATTTTCCTTTTTGGGGGTTAGATTTTCTTTAGATTTATTCTAATTTTCTAAAGGTTTTGGGCCAGATCAAATTAGATTACTTAGTTATAGAGAAGTTAATTTAAGAATATCAAGTAACACCAAGAGGAAAAGCTCAATTTTTTTTGGACTATTACACAGATTTTCATCATATGAAGTGGAGATATGCTATTTTTCAGTATTCTCAAGTAATCAATGAAAATAATTCAAATCAATAAAAATTTAAAACTGGCTTCCATGTAAAGATGGTGGATTAAACACATTCATGTAGCTAAACTCAGACACACAGACCAAAAAAAAAAATACATATGAAGAAAACAATAAAAATCAAGAAAGGGTAACAGCAATAGATTAAAAACTTTGAAAAAAATCTCAGAAATAGCAAGCCGGTGAAACTGAACTGATTCACAAAAAGGTTTGAAAAATCTGTGGTTTGCACTATTTACAATAGCAAAAACATGGAACCAACCCTACTGACCATTGAAAGTGGACAGGATAAAAAAAAGTGTGATACATGTACACAATGGAATATTCTGCAGTCATAAAGAAAGACAAAAATCATAGACTTCTCAGCAAATTGGATGGAATTGGAGACAATCATTCTAAGCAATCTATCACAGAAACAAAGGACTGAGTACCACGTGTTCTCACTCATAAGTGGGACCTGAACATTAATCACAATGGCACAAAGAAGGGACTGGGGGTGGGTGGGAGGATGTAAAACACAAAGGGTATCTGGTCCTAAACCCCGGGGGGGGGGGGGGAAAACCACTTGGGGGCCCAAACTTC